TGAATTGAATCTCTGCAGCTCCTGCTTCTTGGCTTTACATTCTACTTTATGTTACTCTATCATATCTAATATATCAAGGTTTTAGACAGAGGGTGAGAAAAGAGGTTTGTAAAGCCATGCCCCCCGCTTTTTTTTAAAACTTATCTTGAAACCATTGGACTAAATATTAAATGAAAACAAAACAAAAAAAAATCACCAAATGTTTTCAGTCATAAACTAAAGCACATAAACATCAGCTAAACTCACTAATGATAACAATGAAAAAGGCTAAAGCACAAAATAAAAAGTAAAAGTGTTTCTAGTTTAAGCATTGACAGGGCAGGTACTAAAGGTCAGAGCGCCACCCAGTGGTGGATCAGTTCAGGATCAGCAGCACATTATGAATAAGGTGCTTTTCTCTTTAAAGCTGCCTGAACTCTGTGTGTTTGACTTCATTTTCTATCAGCAGTTAATGTAAGAAGTTAAGCACTCTTTCAATAAATCAAAGTGTGAGGATTCGTGATGATCACCTTTTCCTTCTGTTTCTGGCGCTCTCTGAACTCTTCAGTAGACAAGAACAGAGGCATCCATCGCTCCTCCATGTAATTCCTGATTATTTCCTGGATCCCCACCACCACTGGGTCAGAGAAGCGTCCTTCCTTCATGCGCTCCAGTCCACCCACCCAGTGCAGTATCTGCTCAGCAAGAAGAGATGACAGAGACACAAGAGATGGAACCAAGAACACAAATCATTAAAAAAGAAAAAGCCTGCCTGCAGAAAACGTTTCCCTCCCTTCCTTCTGCTGCATTTTTCCCACAAGCTTTTCATCCTTCAGATTTTTCTGTTTCTTATATCTTTCTGACGTTTTTCTTTTTATTTGAAATGTGCACAGCTGCGCCTGCCCTCATTTACTCTCATAAGGCTTTTGAAAGGAGAACCAGTAAGGGAGTGGGAAGCAGGGAGATGAAAGAGGGGCATTATGTGACTGAATGAGTGAAGGGCCAAAGCAGTAAAGCTGTCAGTCTCTCTACATCGCACACAGAAGAGAACCGACAGTTCGATGTAAGAACAGCTGTCAGAGCCAACCCCCTACAGAGTCAGAAGCATTAGAGGTGGCTTTCTAATTCTAAAGCTATTTTAATAATTGCTTTGGATGCTTTTATAGGATGACGCTAACAAATCACAAACATCTTGCTCCACAGTTTCAACACAAGTATTTTGTTTTTGTTGAATAAAGCAGAGTAAATCCCTGTGAGGTGAAGTCATTGATTTGGAGCCGATGTTAAACAGTCAAACCCTGGAAGCTGCAGAGAATAGCTATCATCAAATAACACCGGTTACCAAGGAATAGTGGCTGGAGATCAGTTAATCTCATTTAATTTCTAACCAGATTGTGTTGTTGATTTAGCTGCAGTACTGTGAGATGCCAGAAGAGGGAGACAGAGAACAGAGGAGAGGCTATCAGCCTCTACTTACTAAATCTGGAACCTAAATTAAAGATCTATTTGTGTCAATCAGTCTGATTCCCTTCCCTTTAACTTAAATTAGTGGTTTAAAAAACATTTTTGAATGAATAAAACCGTTGTCACCTACATATTCCTGTTGCTCTGCTGTAGCAGGGCTATCTGGGCCAAAGAAGTAGTTTTTGTTGAGGTACTTGAAGGCAATCTGAGATAACCTCTCCTTTCTGAAGGCCTTGTCCTTTTTGGAAGTCTTCCTGAAGCGTTCCAGGTCCAACCAACACATCAAATGGATGCTAAAAACGAAAAAACTAATTAAACTTCCAAACATCTCATATCATCCCACTGCTCGCCGCTTCTCTTACCTTGCATCATGTTTCTGTAAGAAAGCCATGAAGTGTCCGACCTCATCACGCAGGCCGAGTACAGAGGTTAAACGATAACGGCGGGGAGCGGAAGGAGGAACAGATGGAGGAGCAAACATGGACTCCCACTGCTGCACATGAGGAAGAGACTGAGGAGACAGATGGAGGAAAAGTTTCAGTTGGCGTCTGGAATAAATTCAGCTCTGAGGAACAGATGAATCTGTTAAGAGTCTTTATTTGGTTGTTTTAAAATTATAAATACTAAAGTTCACTATGAGAAAATAAAAAGCAGATTTATACAGTCGTTTGAATGAAATATGTAAACAAAGTATAACCTTTGTTCTATAAACATGTTTATCATACAGTTTATTCCTATTTTTAAATAAACCAGCTCCTGTTTCTGTTTAAATTTCTACTTTTTACCTCTACCTTTGTTGTTGTTTTCTCCTTTTAGAGATGTTTTTCCCCTCTTCTGCTGTTGAGCTTAACTTTTAAAATGTGTTTGCTTCATATTAGCATAATAGCATTTTAGCACTTAATCCAGCTTAAAGCTCTTTTTAGAGCTGCAAATTATTGAATGAATTACCATTTTAAAAATAATTCATAATGTCCACCATTGAACCACCATTTGATTTCTGTTTTAAAATAAAGAATAAAAACAAGAAAAATTATGCAAAAACATGTTTTTAACCAAATGCTTGCAGACCTGTTTGAGCTGCTGCACCGACGCCTCGTAAAGCTTCTGGAGTTCTCTGTAAGCGGGGCTGTCGACGCAGCGCACCTCTTCCTGCACACACACCTGGACACAAACACAGGAACTATTTAGCCAACCTGTTTGGGTGACATTCCCCATGTTTTTTTTATTATTTTTTGTGTGTGTGTGTGTGTGTGTGTGTGTGTGTGTGTGTGTGTGTGTGTGTGTGTGCAAATTTCTGTTTTCAGATTGAGATTCACTAACTACATTCTTTTCAAAACATATTACAGACTCCATTCTCTTTACTTATAAACCTCAATATAAAATGATCTCTCTTGACATGCACATCGACCAATAAAAATGTGTCTAACATCCATGTACACCAATAGAAATGAGTCTTCACTCTTCTCTCCAGAGGAAAGTCCTCCCAGTGAAAAGAATATGATCTGTAAAATGCAATTATTTCTATTTTAAATGCAAAATCTGTTAAATAATGAAGAAAATATTAAGAAAAAAAAACGTGACAAACTTCACTCCATACTTATCCTGCCTATAGCTCCTCTGCAGCTCATCTCACGTCGCCTTCTAAACTGGGAAAAAATT